CTCTCTGTCTCTCTCTGGTCAAATTAAAATAAATGAATGTATAAGTAAAATTTTAAAAAAGGAGGTGTTGGGACCAACAGTTGGCGTAATGGCTATGTCACTGGACTCCCATGTAGTTGGCTGTGGTTTGAGTCCTGGACCCGGTGGCTTAAACTCACGCCGGGTGCGTGTGCGTGCGTGCCCAAGATCCCGAGAGGAGAATGGAGGAGAAGGGATTGTGGCGTGGCCATCCCCCCTGGGAGGTGATTTCTCGCTTTCTATCTCTCTGTCTCTCTCTGTCTTTCTGACAAGCGCACGTGCCCTATAGCAAAAACATCTGAAAAAAAAAAAAGAAAAAAGAAGAGGAGGTGTTGAGTATGGGGGGATTGAGTATACTGGGGTGCAGCCAACACTTGAGATGTCATTGCAGAGTTCACGAAGCAATGCCGTTTGCCCCCCTCAGTCAGATTGTGAACTGGGACAGGGAGCATCAGGCGTGAACTCGGAGAAAACTCCACCCGGCTGGCCATGTTCCCCACCGAGAGGCTCTTAGCCCACAGCGCCTGGCAGGTTCCTGGTCAGGTCTCCGGGTCTGCTTTACTAGGCAAATATGCAAATGCCATGGTTATGGCGCCTCTGAGTAACTGGACTACTCAGGACCCCCCTCTCCTGAGGAAGGCTTAACATTTCACGTCAACCCTGCCAGGCCCATGGATTTGCTCAGGAAGCCCAACCCCCGAGCCAAAGTCAATGCCAGCTGGGCCCAGCCCAGCCCAGCCCAGTCCAGCCCAGCCCAGGTCTGAAGGTTCACAAGTTCTCAAGAAGGGGGACTGGGAGGAGGAGGTGCAGGTGTCCCCATTCAAGCAAGAGCCTCGGGGCTTGGTGCTGGCATGGGGCAGCAGTGGGGGCAGGCCACCTTCTGGGGCTGCACGTGATCAGGCGGCATTTGCAGCTGAAGGCTGAAGGGAACACCGGGGGTTCCTGTGGGCCTGGTCAGAGTACAGTCTCCCTTGCTCACAGACCCTGCCGCTTTTGTGCCTGCCTGTCCTGCGGGCTCCTGTGGTCTCCTTCTAGGGTCGGTCCTTCTCCCGTTCCTGTGCCAGGCTCTCTGGAGGCCACAGTGGGGCCCTTCGGGCCAGTCAAATCCTGCTCGTGGTTCAAGACCCTGTTAATAATATCAGCAAGCAATGACCTAGCTCTTGCATTGAATAGACGCTGGCACTGTCCTAACCACTTCCGGCCTGCCTTTCTTTTCTGCCAGAGGGAGTATACTGGGGTGCAGCCATCACTTGAGATGTCATTGCAGAGTTCTCCTCCATTCTCCTCTCGGGATCTTGGGCACGCACGCAATGCCACGTGTGCGAGAGAGAGAGAGAGAGAGAGAGAGATAGAGATAGAGAGAGATAGAGATAAACTCCCCCTCCCGAAGTGGGGTGTGGGAATGCTCAATCCCGTCTCCATTATTCCATCTTGTTGGGATCTGGGGCACACATGGACACACACCCAGTGTGTTTTTCAAGTTGCCAGAGCTGGGATTTGAACTGTGATCAGCCATGTGGAATCTGGTTCCCTTTACCCTCAGCCATTGAGCTATGAGGCCAGAACTGTACTAATTTCTTTAGATAAATAACTTATTTAACTGTCCCGTTTCACAGATGAGAAACCGAGGCACCGGGCGATGGGGACAGTGGCCCCAGGTCGCATTGCCCGTGAGCGGTGCAGCCCATGTACCCGTGTGCCCTGCTCCTGGTCTGATGGGCTCCAGGCCATTTGTCTGGGGATTCTCCCACTGGGCTTTGTGTACCGCTCTCCGTCAGCACTGGCACACCCTGTTTTGTAGGCCAGTTATTGGATCTGGGTCCCCGCCAGGTTCAGGCTCTCTGAGTCTCCAGGTGCCAGTACTGGCTGGGGAGTGGATTCCGGCCACATCTCCGGCTCTGGGCTCCGTCTCACCAGAGGTGGGACAGAAAAGAGGGAGCCCCTGGGGTGGTCACATTTGGTCTCAAGGAATCTTACACAAGGAAGCTGGGCTGGGAACTGGTGCTAAGGGTTGGGTAAGCAGGTAGGTTTGGGAGCCCGGGAGGAGAGGCCAGTGTTGAGTATGAGGGATGTGGTCGGGGGGCTTCCTGTAGGAAGCAGCCAGGGGAGGGAAGCAGAGGATGAGGTGATAGCCATGAAAATTCGTGGCATCTGGAATGGCATGTGGCCCTGGGCTGGGCCCTGGGAGGACTCCCTACATAACGGCCCCACAAGCACATCACGTATGTCACAGCCCTCAGAAATGCAGGGCCAGGCTGGCCGTGTGCGCCCACTGGAGCTGTGACCCCCAACAGAGCCCAGCCCTGAGCCTGGGGAAGAGGCAGCAGGGCGCAGTGGGGTGGGGCCTCTTGTGTCCTTTTATAGACTTGAGGGCACACAGAGACACAGACACTGACATGGACTTCCGGGCACATGGAAGCCAGACACTCACACAAACACACATGCATGTGCATTTACCTGGGCATGGCCAGATCACACATAACTCACAGACAGAGAGGCACAGACACCCCCATCTGGGCGTCCCAGAGACACACTCGCATCTGACACCCAGAGACACAGCACGCCAGGCAGACACGTTCAGGCCTGACCACACTTAGACACACGCCTCCAAATCACAGAGACACGCAGAGTCAAACACAGAGCTCTAGCCCCCAGAGGCACAGACACACCCAGGGACACACACTGGGGTGTGCACCAACACCGAGCCCCACACCAGGGTACAGCCGGGCTCAGCCCGCAGGCCTGTGCTGGCCCTCCTGTGGATCCCAGGCAAGCTGTCTGGTGACAGGGTGTTGGCACCTGCCGGGCACCCTGTGCCAGCAGTGATCTCATCAGAATCACAAGGGCGGCGTGTCCTGAGGGCCTGGGAGGTGCTGCAGTGGGGCCCGGAGTCCGAGTCTGGGCCTCTTGGGACTGCTGGTGATCCCGCTGCCGGGCCTGGTGAGGCCTGTCTGCAGCCTGGTCCAGCCTCCTGCCTTGGCGGGGGTGGGACGTGCAGGCAGCGGGCAGGTTCAGCTACCCCTTGACCCAGTGTCAGTCTTCCCCAGGGAACAGGGTGCCATCCCTTTTTGATTATTTTGGCTATAGTATGTGTGTGCTCACGGGAGAGAGAGAGAGAGAGAGAGAGAGAGAGAGAGAGAGAGAGAGAAAGTGAGAATCCCTTCTCTTCCTTTCTCCTTTTGGGACTGGATATGCATACATGGACACACATGTGTCTGGCTTGCTTTTCAAGCCTCCGGGTCTGGGACTTGAATCATGCAGTCAGCCACGTGGGATCCAGGCATCTTAAGCTCTGCACCTCTTGTTGGCCCCAGGGGCCACCCCTCTTTGAGACTCCATGCAGGAGACAGAAAGTCTGGGTCCAGGCCGCGTGGGGGAACACAGTGGGGTTACATAAGAGGACTCAGGCAGGGCACGGGAGCAGGGAGACTAAAGGTGCCCCCTGTGCTGCGCAAGGCTGTTACGTAATAGGAGACCCAGCCTGGGGGAGGCCTGGGATGGAGGCCCAGAGCAGTCAGCCTCCTCACTGCCTCCAGCTCTGGGGCCGGCCCTCACTCCCCCTCCACAAGCCTTGAGCCTGACGCCCACCTCCCAGGGGCGGTCTGTCCCCGTGCCCCCCCACTTCCTAGCCTCTCTGCTTCTCCAAACCTGCCTGTTTTCTCAAGTCTGGCTCAACCCCCAGCTACTGAGCCAAGTGGAGGGTGCTGTTGTCGATCCTGGCTGGGCACTGGGCTGGGCAGCTAGGTCCCACCCTGCACACTGCCGGGGGCTTTCCCAGGCCCTTGAGCTAAGGAGGAAGAGTCGGCATCCCAATGTGCTCGGTCTCTGGGGCTGACCTTGACTTGTCCAATCAAGATAAGGAGCTGACAGCCCATCTGGCTTGCTGAGGGTGGGCTGGAATGGTGACGCCAGCCCAGTGCTCCTGTTTGTGGTTAGGGGCCGTGTGTGGGCGGTGGCACTATCGCTTCTTCTGGGTGTCCTGGTGGCAGAGCCTTCGTTGTGAGGAAGGAGCTGGACCTTGGTTCCTCACCCCCTCCCCAGGCTGATGGTTCTAGATCTGTCTGAACTAGCCTGATGCCCATCCTGCTCCAGACTCCAAGCTTCCATGTGGTCCCTGTGTGTGGGGGGGGACGGGGGTCACACACTGTGAGCTCATGTCACTGTGACCCCGTGTCCTCTACTCACCCTCTAAGATGCTAACCCTGTACCGTGTTCTAATCCTGGAGCGTGCTGTTCTGGGGTCAGTTTTCCCCATCCCCAGCACCTGGGAGTGACCCTATCAGGCTGCCGCCCCAACTCCTCCTTGGGCTGGGCCAGGTCCTGGGACCTGTCTGCCCTCATTGTCCACTGGGCCCTATCATACAGCATCTAGGTGGGCTGGTAGCTGGGGACATCACCTCTACTTTTTCCGGAGGAGAGAAGGAACTGTAAAGGCAGAGTTGACACCATGTACTTTGTGGAGCCCCAATGTAGTAAGCACTCTTTTTATTTTTATTATTATTATTTTTTTTGCTCTAGGGCACGTGCTAGCCAGAAAGACGGAGAGAGACAGAGAGACAGAAAGCGAGAAATCACCCCCCAGAGGGCATAGCCATGCTGCAATCCCTTCTCCTCCATTCCCCTCTCGGGATCTTGGGCACGCAGGCACACGCGCCCGGCCTGAGTTTAAGCCACTGGGTCTGGGACTCGAACCGGAGTTGACTACACGGGAGTCCAGCGACATAGCCATTACGCCAACTGCTGCTGGTCGCCGTAAGCACTCTTCAGTGATAGTGGGTGCTCCCCAGACCTGGGAGGGGATGAGGGGAACATGGGGGCCTGTCAGCCTCTCCCTTCTTCCATCTGGCTCTCCCAGCCTCTCCTCACCAACCAGCAGCTCGGCAGTGCTGCCCATGGTCCCCAGCCAGCACATGGGGAAGGAACGTGACCTGGACCTGGGCTCCAGGGGCGTCTGCAGCCCCACCCTTCTCAGGAGGCCTCACCTGTGGTCTCGTTCTCCAGCCTGGCCTCCTCCAGGCACTGCTTGTGCTGTACCTCGATCATCCTCAGATAGTCACACTCCTGCTGCAACCTGGCCGCGTGGCCACCCTGGGAACAGACGGGGAGCGCCATTAGCC